TTTGTGAAAAATCATTAAAATTTGAAGAAAAAAAAATGTTGCATTCAAGAGTAAATTTTTTTGTTCAATTGTATTGTTATTTCTGATTAATAAATAAAAAGATTTTATTAATTAAAAAAGGTGAGCCTGATCATGTACATGTATACTATCCAAGCCACGCACCGACTGTCTGTATAAGACAGGACTGAATTTGGCTCTCTATAGGATGCTAGAAGCATTTTGTAGTACACGTGGTATCTAGGTGTATTTTACCTATTTATAAGGTATGTTGAATCCGATAAAGGTGGATACCAAATTGAAAAGCTTGATCTTGACCCTTGAAATGGCCATTTAAAATGACCACTAAAATGGCCGCCAAAGTTCTTTATCATAAATGGATGATATATCCAATAAAAATTTTAAGGAAAGGAAAAGCCTAAAATTTGTCACAAAGCATGTTTAGGTTAAAACAAACTCGACACCAAAACAGAATTTAAAACAAAAACAACAATCCAATATGGTCGAAAAATCCAAGATGGCGGGCATTTTTCTATAGGCCAATATAATAGTAATATAGAAGTAATATTAAAGATAGTACTGAAAATGTTAAGGCATTTTAAACATAAGAGACTAGAATGTAAGAGATAAAATTTTCTAGAAGTCCCTACTCCTTTGAACCCTATCACTATATTTGGGGTTTTTGCTAGATTGCCAAGCATATAGATTGGCCCTACTCAGATTCTACTTATATTTGCACAGCTTTCGCGTATATGAGTGGCTTAAAACGTTGTGCAATGTTAAAACAACATTTAAAATTTAAAAAGGGGCACCTTTTTCTCTGAATGGACTCTTGGGGTTTTTTGGGTGTTCGGTTTTTCTGTTATCCGGGTCGTTGTTCTTTGTTTCTTTTGTTATCGGTTCTCTCGTCCGCATGTCCCTCTGTTGTCAGTTCTGTTATTGGGGTCGTTATTTTGTTCCTACTGTTATTCTTCGTTCGCATTTCTCTTGTTTCTTCTGTTATTTGGTCGTGATCTTTCGTTCTTCTTCTCGGCCTGGGTTCTCAGTTCTTTGGGTTGTCAAAGATGTTCTTTCATCGTTCCTTTCTTCTGCTTTTCTGTTATCCGGTCGTCGCCTTCGTTCTTCTATTATCGGGTATCGTCTTCGTTCTTCTGCGTACTTCTCTCATCGGTTCTCGTCTCAAATATATTTTTCCATTTTTTCTCCGTTTTCTTGTTAATTCTTCTGTCATCGGTTCCCGTCTGTTATTGTGTTATCGGTCCTAGTCTCTATTTTTCTGTTATTAATCCTTGTCTCTGTTGTCTTGTTGTCAGTACTTCTGTAATCGGTTCCTGTCTCTGTTCTTCTGTTATCGGTCCTTGTCTCTGTTCGCTCTTTGTCAGTTCTTCTGTTATCGGTCCCTGTCACTGTTCTTCCGTTATCGGTCTTCGTCTCTGTTCGCTCTTTGTCAGTTCTTCTGTAATCGATTCCTGTCTCTGTTCTTCTGTTATCGGTCCTCGTCTCTGTTCGCTCTTTGTCAGTTCTTCTGTTATCGGTTGACGTTTCTGTTCGTTTGTTGGTAGTTCTTCTGTCATCGGTTCTCGTCTTTATTTTTTTGTAATCAGTCTTTGTCTCCGTTTTCTTGTTAATTCTTCTGTTATCGGTTCCCGTCTGTTATTCTGTTATCGGCCCTAGTCTCTATTTTTCTGTTATTAACATTTGTCTCCGTTGTTTTCTTGTCAGTTCTTCTGTTATCGGTCCCTGTCTCTGTTCGCTTGTTGTTAGTTGTTTTGTTATCGGTCCTCGTCTCTGTTCGCTCTTTGTCAGTTCTTTTGTAATCGGTTCCTGTCTCTGTTCTTCTGTTATCGGTCCTCGTCTCTGTTCGCTCTTTGTCAGTTCTTCTGTTATCGGTCTCTGTCACTGTTATCGGTTGACGTTTCTGTTCGTTTGACGGTAGTTCTTATGTATCGGTTCTCGTCTCTATTTTTTTTGTAATCAGTCTTTGTCTCCGTTTTCTTGTTCCCGTCTGTTATTCTGTTATCTGTTATCGGCCCTAGTCTCTATTTTTTTCTGTTATTAATCGTTGTCTCCGTTGTTTTGTGGTCAGTTCTTCTGTTATCGGTCCCTGTCTCTGTTTGCTTGTTGTTAGTTGTTTTGTTATCGGTCCTCGTCTCTGTACTTCTGTTATCGGTCCTCGTCTCTGTTCGCTTGTTGTCAGTTCTTGTCTCCGTCCTTCCTTCTGTTATCGGTCGTCGTCTTCGGTTTTGTACTTTCGGTACTTGTTTCCTGTTCCGTTAAGGTATTCTCTTGTATCTACCGTTGCCGTCATGCTGTGTCGATGTCCTGGTTTTGTCAGTCTTGTAGTCATTTTATTCGTTCAGTGGAGAAGCGGGGGATCGAACTCACGACCCCTTGATTTGTAGGCAGACAGTGTTATCACTGCACCATAGCGCCCGCTCTGAATAATAACCATTTTTGAAAGTCCTTTATACATTAAATACTATTTCAATGGCTAACAAAGGGTTTATTACAATTATATTTTGACACCTCTACTATGTAGCCAACCCACGTGACTTTTATATATGGTCAACGAAAATATTACTCGATTTAAGTAATATTTTTATAGATAAATTTCCTGTCATTTCAAGCGTGTCTTTAAATGATAGTAGTTATCACCAAGGGCGACAAATCTTCAGACCTTATTTCAATTACGCACATGGTGGCCGCATGGTACTTGTGACGTCATTATGAATTTCGTCATAGCGTAGCCAAAAGCTGAGAACGGGGTTCTTTTTCGTTTGGACATAGAAGAGAAAGGTTGGAGAAAAATATTTTATTTTTATTTCTATTTGTTTTAAATTTCTGTAAAAAAGAAGCTAAATTTACTTTCTTTAGATAAAAATGTTTTGTGCTTTGTCAGGAAAAAAGATAGTTCATCAGATTTAGCTGGAATGTAAGATCTACATTAGAAATAAAGAAATTTGGCCTCGTGCTTAGCAATGGAGGTAGATCTAAATGAATGTTGACTGAAAAAATAGACACGCTTAAGGCTTTTATAAAATCTATTAAATGGATGTAAGTATAATGAAATATTTATAGAGCTGGACAAACAATTTGAGATTATTCCAGCTTGTCTTATGGTCTATAGGTCAAAGAAAGTTAAAGTGATGCTGAACGCCCATTCTCAATAAAATAAACAGGGTTCCCACGCTGTCCGGGAAAACGGGAAATGTCCGTGAATTTGAAAACACTAGCTCCCGGCCTTGAAAAGTCCGGGAATTAGTGTTGATACAGAAAAAAGTCCGGGAAGGTACGGGAATTAGTCTGGAAAAGGGGAGGTAAATCAAACAACCAAAATGGCGGTCTTAGCACAGTATATTGATTTCCGCATCTTGAATGTTGATGATTTTTCGATATACAAGTGTTTTAAGAGGCAAATTTTGACATTTATGACATTTAACATTTATTTTCTGGTTACTATGTCGGTTTTGTTTCAAAAATCTTATAAGACAGTCACAAATCGACCTCAAGTGTGCTCAAAGCACATGAAAAAGATGAAAGCTCACAGGTATGGTTGTTTCCTTGGGCAATGTTTTTTATCCTAATTGCTCACAACCATGCTAAAAGCCAAAGGTATATCAATATAAAATTAACAATAGTATTACATTATTATTAATTTACATACATGAACTATTGTAAAGGCAGAGCACAGCCAATTGGCCACACGGGTAGCACGAAATACCTAAGTATAGCCAATATATACTAAAAATAATGTGTTGTACTAATAAAATTGTGTTTTAATCATGAATACAATATACAATTTCACTAAGATGTAATCAAACATACCCAAATATACATTTTTGAACACCGCCCCCCTCCCGTAGCACTGACTTAAGCAGAATACAACATTTAAACATGAAAGTTGTGAAATAATTATACCCTTCAGTGTGACATGCTTTTGCCATTCTTTGAAGCCTTTGAGTGGACTGAGGTCAAATGTGTGGTAACTTATTTAATAAGTACTATGAATATCTGGTCAAAAAGTGATCCCTTGAAACATTAAAAACAGCAAAATTACATGAAAATGGCACACAACCTGCAAAAACAGTTGCTGTCACAAAGTACATTTCATTATTTATAGACACTGAATGTATTTCTTAGATAGAGTTAGATTTATGTCATGAACTACATGTATTATATTGTTATTAAATGTTGTTTTAAACATTACCATGAACATATTCAAAGGACAAAAAAAATCAAATAGCTTGAAATTTTATCTTCTAAAAAGTCCTTAAAAAATCAAAAAAGGTCCTTGATAAGTCCTGGAAAAGTCCTTAAATTTTCAAAATATCTAAGAGTGGGAACCCTGAATAAAGCATTTGAGGTTGAAAAATATTAAAAATTTGATGTTGTCATTGTGTCATTTTTTTATCGCTGAGGTAAAAGTTTAGGGTATTTTGCAAGTTTGCCAGAAATATTTTGAACAAGAAACTATGACTAACAGGATGGCATTTATTTCGGTAATGACACTGTATTTCTTCGGTAACGTAGATTTCAGATCTAATAATGTAACATATTGGCTGCATATTAACAACAAATGTCTTTAAAATATATCAAAATCTGTAAATTCTCTATCTAGAGGGACTTTCTAACCCAGGAAAATTCAAGGAAGTTGGGTACCTTGCTAATTTTCAGTTAATTTCTTCAAAGTTAAATATTCGTAGAAAGCAAAAATAGTCAATTTTGGAAATGATTATTTTATGTCTTCATTCAAAGGATATCATATATATTATATATAATATATGAGAGGTCGAATGCATTCACAAATGTTGTATTAGCAATTTTTTTTCAAAACATTCAACTTTTAACTTTCTTAATATTTGGAAAATTTATTGCTCAGCAGTTCTATATTTATCCCTATATAGGATGTCACGTATGTTTCATTTTATTCAAATGCAAGTAAAGGTTGAGAAAACAATTTTATTTTTTGTAAAATAATGTATATTTATGGATTATCAGGATATTATTTTAAAATTATTATATATAGAACGAAATACGGCCAGTAAGCTCTTTGCAGAAACGAATTAGTTGTTGCTGAGAACATCAATATCTTGTAAAATATTTTTAACCTTTCTGCTGGTACATCAACATATTATTAACATATCTTTCCTTTGTAAAAACAATTTTGTATCTTCTTACATCTAATACAAGGTAACCGTTACTAACGGGCATGATAATCCCAACTTTATCTTTAATTTTCAAAAATTGTTGAATTGTAAGTTGGAGTAACGTATGTTTCACACTCGCTTATTTATGAACTTAATCACGGAATTGAAACTTACATGTAAAATCGACTGTTTTATTTAGGAATCAAATGTACATCATTCTATTGTCATAAAAATGCGATTTTATGTTTTTATATATGCATGTGTAAACAATATACAATGTAAAGTCTGTTTGATAAAAGTAACGTTTGTTTCACTGTGGTTACTTAAACAAGTTAAAACTCGACCAAAGTTATCAAAATTTACTTACTAATGTCAAATAGAAGTTAATGTTGCTGTTATACGTGCTTTCTGGCTTCAATCCCCCTTTTTATAAACTTACTTTAAAAAGTTGATAACGTTTGTTTCTGTAAGTTTAACGTATGTTTCATTTTACATTGAAAGTGGGTTAAAAAATGACGCAAGACCGTTTAACCCGCCATAAATTGCGGTTAATATATCAGAGTTACACACATGTTAATTTTCTTTCTTGTTTGGATTCTTCTTTAAATGGCTTGGCTCTTAAATAATGGTAACGTATGTTTCTTTTTAAAATGCTGTTGAAAAGATTTGAATAAAAAATGAAAATTTCCGAAAATATAATGATATTTGAGAGGCCGCAAGCTTATTTTTACTTATAATTATAAATATGCTGTATTATTAAGCATGCATCGATTCAATTATGTAATTTTGGTTCAACTTATTATTGTTTAAGGTTTGTCACTATTTATTTATATGCTTTTGGCGACATTTGATCATCCATTATATCAATGAGATTTTAACAGTCAAATATAATTTTTACCAATAATCAAAGTTCATATACACACCGCAATGACTAATTGCACATGTTTCGTTTATTCTGGAACTTATTGTTCTGAGACACAATTTCAAAGTTGAAAATTCTAGGTGGCGACAGTAACGTATGTTACATTTTAGGGCATTAATGGTACTTGTAAAAGAAAAATAACAGATAGAAATGTAAAACTGAGAGTGTCCCTAATAGACAAAGTGGCAGCCACCTTTCTAACGACATTTTGACCTCAGGAAAAAACCTTCGTATAAGAGCTACCAAGTGGAACATCAAGTGCTGTGTTTTATTGAGAATGAGCGTGAAGCAGGTTTGCTGGCAGGGTTTTCGGACCTGGTAATTTTCAGCCCGTATGTTATCGCATTGGCAATTAGTATACGAAAAGGCGCATACAATTTTTATAGCTGAAAACATTTATACAGTACTGAAGTTTATATAAAATAGATTCAGACTTGCCTAAACCAAATACGATATAGTTCTAAGATGAATTTGCTGTTTTTTGGTGTAAATTTACAGTCTATCTTTTTATTTTTCATATATCATTCTGAATGGTTTTGCATTTGACTGAAAAATGCCACGGAAAAGAGCACTATTGGCGACTCAAGTCAACCAGAAAAGGGCAAAACGTATTAGATCTAATAGTAATACAGCAGGTATACAGCAGAATTCTTTCGGTGTACAGTGCTCTATGGTCACAGACAGTCCTCTAAATAGCACTATACAAAATCAGACATTGCCATCGGAAACAAATCCAGTCACCAGTCAGAACATGTCTTGTTCTACAGAACAACAACATGGAACATGTAGTTCATTCTCGGGTGGTCCTTCATTCACAGGTGTTGATAACCAGGGTATAACACCCAATGTGCACTGTATCACATCTCCTTATTTGGGCACATCTACAAGGGACTATGGATACCAATATAACCTTGGTTATGATCAAAATATTGGCACAACTCAGTACCTGGACACAACAGGTTATTATCATCCACAACCTCAGACACAGACAACACATGTTAATTATGGTCCAGTATGCCAAGATGGAATCTACACCTATCCCCAGGCTCAGATAGCACCTACATATTGTCCAGGTGGTAATCCAATACAACAACATACCTTGTGGCAACCACAGGCTCAGACCGCATCAGCTGACCAGACTGCTATATCGGGTAATAGTTTTAATAATAATTCAATAAGTAATACTAACTCGCCTTTCAATTCTGTTTGTAATGATTTGTCACTTCACATTCCCAAAAAACTTAAAGAACAAATATGGCAGGGGGAATTCATTGATTTATCTATTCTCTTGCAAAAAGAAGAAGATGGACAACAATCCATCAAATTAGTGAATGGCGAGTTGGTGATATCTAATGCCATTAAGAAAAATACAGTTTTAAATATCGAAAGGTGGACTGATGCCTTTTTGATTTATATACATATTATGGTTACAAAAAGTCCATTATTAGCTAAACATTTATTGCAGTACTTAAATACAATACGTTTAGCTGCTAAAAGGAACCCATCTGGTTGGGCACAATATGATAAAATGTTTAGAAGAAATATTGCGCAACACCCGGGGACGCCTTGGTCAGTAATTGATGCTGAGCTTTGGCTCATTACAATGACAGCAAATCATAATGCTTTTGTACCACAGTATACCCAAAATATATGTTTTGATTACAATACAAAAGGCTTTTGTAACAAACCAGGTTGTTTTTATCAGCACAAGTGTAAAAAATGCAGTGGCAATCATCCTTCGTATGTATGTCGTGCACCTTCCATTCGACCAGACCTGGGTCGGGGTTCAACCAGTATAACAAATTCTTTCAGACCAAGATTATTCAGACCGGAGATCCAGCCAAGATTCCAACCTAATCAAAAACCTTTTGGTATTAGGTCAAACACCAATAGACACGAGCTCCCTAAGTAAATGGCTCAGTAAATATGATAAAGAAAAAGCATGCTTTATTATTACTATTTTGAAATACTTAAAAGTTTAACCCAAATGTTTCTTTATTAGGAATAAATAACACACATGTGTGGATTATTGGTTCATCTATTATAAGGAATGCCTTCTATCATGCCAAACAAAGGTATGGGAAGGACCTCGGTCTAGAAAATACAACTATTACCTGGAAATTTAAGCCTGGTTTGCTGACTGAAGGCCTACTTCATGAGTTTAATACAATGTTGAATTGTAATAAATTACCGTTTGCCATAATTATACATTGTGGAGGCAATAATATTGGGAAAACCCCTTTAGACTATTGTAAATGGCTACTTACAAATAATTTTGCCACTGTATTATCTAGTATTCCTGGAGTACGTCTTGTCTGGTCCGGGGTTCTTCCAAGATTATATTATAGAGGAGAAAATAACCACAAAAAGTTGGATAAGGCTAGAAAAAGATTAAATAGTTCTTTGGCTAAATTCTGTATTACAAACGGTGGTGGATATATTAGGTATCCAGATATTCAAGAGTCTCAGGAATTCTTTAGAGATAATGTTCATTTATCTGTTAAGGGTCTTGACATTATGGTTGACACTCTCAGGAATGGGATTTACAATATCATCTTTAGGGGCCTACAGGCAGTAACTGTTTTCCGTAGCATATTTAAATCCGGCTGACAGTGACAGCTTCCGAATCATCACCCCCATACGATTAGTTTCTTATGGCGGGGCTTGCTCTTTGTTGGCTACTTTCCAGCCAAATGAGCTGCGCCTTTGGCTTAATGTCGATTCGTACTGTCACTTATAACATTACATTATATTTATGTATAACACATTTCATATATAGTAAGATACAATCGCAGGGTAAATATTAAGCTTTATCATCATTGATGAATTTTAAATACATTTATGCAGTGTAATTTTAATTACTTCCGATATTCCGGTGTTCTGCATCCGATTTTCCGGAGTAATATTACAAGCTGCCGATAGTCCGGAGCCAGTTCTTCTCCCGATTTTCCGGAGTAATGTGATCGCCATATAGCCTTTCTTATAAGGAAGCGTGATTCACATCTTATGTTTAGCTCACGATGTTCCGGAGCTACTCTACTGTCTAAACGTACTTCCGATTGATCCGGAGTTACTACTTTACGACTACACTGCAGTTTCTAAAATCTAAGTTTAAATAGTTTCCGATATTTGAATCTTACATACACTGCGATTGTATTTTTAGTATCATGTTTTAGAATTTATGTCAGCCATGGCCATATCTTGCCAAAATATCATTAAACATAAATAAGTTAAACATCTTTGTTTTTTGTCCCTCTTGTGATAAATTTCCTGTCATTTCAAGCGTGTCTTTAAATGATAGTAGTTATCACCAAGGGCGACAAATCTTCAGACCTTATTTCAATTACGCACATGGTGGCCGCATGGTACTTGTGACGTCATTATGAATTTCGTCATAGCGTAGCCAAAAGCTGAGAACGGGGTTCTTTTTCGTTTGGACATAGAAGAGAAAGGTTGGAGAAAAATATTTTATTTCCCACCCACCCAACCCAAATTATATGCAATTTTATGAACAAACTTCTCGCTGCCTCTAATTTTATTTTTCAGAATTTGCTGCACAAGTCAACTACGTTTATATATGTGCATGTTGCATCAACATTGTCATGGCTGACGTTGGAGGGGCTTTTTGAGATCTGATGTCTTGTTCGTGAATATAGGACATTACTGCAAAGGAACATTCATTGTCATGTTGCTGAAGTTATATAATCATAATGTGTTAAGTGCATGTTTTACATACATTATAAGAATTTTTCATCAGATCACCCTCTAACAGCATTATAGTGAGATTTACGTTATTATGAAATAGACATATGTATGGACATATACAGTGAACTTATAACTACGGCTTAATGTCGATTCGTACTGTCACTTATAACATTACATTATATTTATGTATAACACATTTCATATATAGTAAGATACAATCGCAGGGTAAATATTAAGCTTTATCATCATTGATGAATTTTAAATACATTTATGCAGTGTAATTTTAATTACTTCCGATATTCCGGTGTTCTGCATCCGATTTTCCGGAGTAATATTACAAGCTGCCGATAGTCCGGAGCCAGTTCTTCTCCCGATTTTCCGGAGTAATGTGATCGCCATATAGCCTTTCTTATAAGGAAGCGTGATTCACATCTTATGTTTAGCTCACGATGTTCCGGAGCTACTCTACTGTCTAAACGTACTTCCGATTGATCCGGAGTTACTACTTTACGACTACACTGCAGTTTCTAAAATCTAAGTTTAAATAGTTTCCGATATTTGAATCTTACATACACTGCGATTGTATTTTTAGTATCATGTTTTAGAATTTATGTCGGCCATGGCCATATCTTGCCAAAATATCATTAAACATAAATAAGTTAAACATCTTTGTTTTTTGTCCCTCTTGTGATAACATTGCTGTTAAATCAAATGATGTGATAATCTTCTTGTAGAATTTCCCCAAAACCGAGACTGAATTCCAAAATTTTCGAGAGCTGCCATGGTGTAGCAAGCACTCGTAGCAATCTCCAGGTTTCAGACATTTAATGACTCGATTAAAATATGGTGTTGTTTATTATTATTGTTGTTGTTTTTAAATTTCAAATTAAATCGTCACTTATTTCTAAACAAGATGGTAAACATTTGTTGTTTTCTGTATTTTTGTTAAGCATGTGATAAAGTATACACTTCTAAGTTTTAAAGGCCTCAACAGACGGTAGGATTTAGAGTTACAACACCAATTAAAACTAAGATGTACAGGCAAATCTTAATGTGTGAAAGCTACTATTTCTTGAATTCGGAAACCTTAAGTCTAGATGTAAGGGATAGGACATGTTCTATTTTGAAAATCTTGTCGTACAGGTTTTTTCAGACCTCCCACAATGACAAGTAACAGATTACCAAACTACCTCCTGAACCATTAGGGCTAAAAGGTAAACATAGTAGTAAGATGGGGTAAAATGATGTTGAAAAACTCTTCAGGAGACCCAAAGTTGTGTTATGTTCGAATCCCAAATTATTCCGAAAATGATTATGTCACGTTATTGAACAGTTCTCTAATTAGGGGAAATCAGAATAAGGTAGTTTGTAGGCGGCCGGATAGCTTAGTCAGTAGAGCCGCAGTACGGTATTCCGAGGGTCCCAGATTTGAGTCTCGGTTAGGTTTCACATTTAATTTTTTAAATGGAGGTGTTTCAATCAATACTAATGGCGAAAAAAGTATTTAGTGAGTAAAGTATGTAAAGGATCAACGTAAAGGGATCCTTTTTAGGGAAACCTCAGAATATTCCTACAGTGTAGAATTACCGTCTGAATGCAAGTGTTTTTGTATTGCTTTAAAAATTGTACATCTTTTCTCTAATTAGTGCTGTACAACTAAATCCTACCGTCTGTTGAGGCCTTAAGACGACTTTTTAATATTATCGATTATCCATCGTATACCTTAATGCAGTTATAATTGAATCTAAAAAATGAATTATGCAGATATTATTTTCGGCAGAAAACAACAAATACACTCAAAACAACACACAAAAAGCTTATATGCAACATACATGTGTAATGTTCACAATGTGCTGAAAACGGCTCTTTATTAATTTCAACATTTCAGCAAGTGACACATTTTATAAAAGAATGGGACAGAAACGTTGTTGTAACCATTTAAAAAGTAGGATTGTAAATTTGTAAGTTGGATATTTTTTACCTAGTTTGCTCAACACTCAATTAACACATTTTTTTATATATAACCCTGGGGTACAGAATATAGACAGAAAACAACTTTCATAGATTGAGATAGAGCCATAATGTCGTAGATATTTGGGTTATAAAAAGTTTTTGATCCTGATAATGTTTTAAGAAGGATAAACACGTGCAATTATGTAATTATTATGTCTTTAGTTAGTTTCTGGAGAAAAGGCTTAATAAAGGTGGTATCTTTTATTTTATAGATGAATTTATTACTAGTATGTGTCACATGTCGCCTTTAAAAAGATTTTGTGGTGATTTTGCGCATACTTAAACCCGCTTTTGCATGTTGGAACAACAGTATTTTATTTGTTTGTATACGCAGCCTAATTGCTTATTTTGTATAGTCTTATTTTAATTACCTGTCAATTATGAGTACAATACAGCAGTCAGTGAAATATTACAATCTACTTCGATTTCGTTAGAATTAATATGGAGAATAAAGAGGATATTTGTTTGTTTGTGTGTAAGATGAAATTTTATTTCATCGAGTGTGCTTTAAAAACAGTATTCCCACGAGTGGCGTAGCCACGAGCGAAAATACTGTTTTTGAAGTTCACGAGATGAAATAAAATTACATCTGACACAACAAACAAACCAATTTTCTTTTTATTTTGTGCTTAAAAATAAGTTAAAACGAAATTTCCTTGATACAACTTTAATATTAAAATCTGCTTTCCCCACTGGTAGCCTCTATTATGTACATGTATTAGTCGAATTTCTCATAAAATACAAGAAGTTTTGGGCTGAAAATAAGTTCGAGAATCAACGTTAAATGGCGATGATATTATTCATTTTATTAAAAAATATAAATGATCGCTTATTTTAATTATAATAAAAACAAACCATTTTTGTAGGAGAAAAAGTCCAACCATCCATCCATATTTCTGTTACTTACTGCGAATGTACAGTATATTAGACATGGCTCTGTTAAATGTAAGCGGCGGCCATTTTTAAAAGTTGTGTATTTCAAGGGAGGAAAATAATTATGTTTGATTCAGAGGGATATCATTTGGATTTGTTAGTCATACACCTTTTTAAAAGAACGAAAACTTATTTGAGGATTGTAACAAACAATAAATAAGTGTTGGCAGATGTGTTTAAAAAGTGGCTAGGAAATTGGAAACTTGGAATTGTTGAAAGGCTGCCTTACGAACGCTGGGTTGTTTACTTATTCTTCGGGCTGATGGCTGTCATTGCTTTTCAAGTTTTTATAAAGCACACGGCAGTTATTGCTCGTAGATAGTATGCCCGAATGTCATCAAGAGCAGTTTTGCATGTGTAAGGAATGTATTTTTCAGACTGTAAAATGAAACAAAAAATTAAGAGACGATATTTTTTTGCTGATTGGTAATTTGGATGAATAGAAGTAAGTTTTCTTCTTGTTATTACTTTTAACATTTAAGTTATTTATCAATTTCAGTTTTGCTTTTCTCTAAACAGTCTGACATTGTCAGAATTGTCAGCAAAAATAAAATTGAGGTACCACATGGGGAAAATCTTAAGAAAGTAGTTTCGTCATTGGAAAGTGTGAAATTATATTTTGATAATTTTCACTGTGAAATTATCAAATATAATTTTCACGGATAAATCAGTAATCCACTGAAAAGTATAAAATAAAAAACTATAAAACTAATGTTAGTGAAAGTCATATCTGCTAAAAATGTAAACGTTATCCGCAGTAGCACAGCCGGTTAAGTGATTGACTGATGTGTGAGAGGTCTATGGTTCGATTCCTACTGTTGCCTTTTTTAAGACCTACTGTTTTTTGATGTTGTTGTTTTTTTTTTTGGGGGGGGGGGTTGGTTTTTTCTTTGGGGGGAAGGGTGCGGTATATATTTTAAAACACTTTTTGTCTCGGTTTGTGTTGTGCTTATGGCATTGGAATGGTATTTTTGACATTTCAAAATAATCTTTCAATATTAATTTTAAACCATAAATACCATAATAAGTGCAAAATATATGAAAACAAAATGAACAACTTAAAAAAAATGATTGCGACAAATAATTTTTAAAATTACGGAACACCTGAAGTGACATTTTCCACACTTTCTCCCGGAATTGAATTCGTTTTTACGAGATAATAATTCCCAATTAGAAATATTATTTCGTTTTAACGAAATATAAAATCTTAATTACGAACTATTGATTCGTTATTTCGAAATATTAATTCGTAATTACGAAATATTAATTTGTTATTACGAAATATTTATTCTTTGGTTATATTTATAAAGAATGATTTGAAACTAAGTTTATTGTTAAATATAAGTCAAGTAAACAAAACATAAAAGTGATTCTGATACCTTAACAGTAAAACAGTACTGTAAATAACTGTAAATTGAGCCATTTAGGCTTATAATCGTTATATTTGGTGGTCAATCTCATTAAAATCAGATCATATTGTATAATCATTTGATTTTGACAATAAATTAATTGCATCATATTGTATCATAGTATTTTAAGACCTATTTTAGTTTTTTTAAGCGGCCATTTTAAATTGACCTTTTGAAGGCGAAGGTCAATTTTATGGTATCCACCCTCATCGTCTTCAGCATACCCATATAAGGTTAAAACACTTAAGATATTACTTGTACTATAAAATGCCTCTAGCATTCATATTTTCTTAAAATCAGTCCTGTCTATATCCTAAAACATCAATATCGGCATTTTAAATTCTCTTTTTTGAAGAATGTGGCTATCAAATTTCAAAGTCAGTGATAAAAGTCAATAAAAATACAAATGTGCTTGTCTCATTCACTTTCAAATGATAACAAAACAGATGATTTTCTCTATAGCCGTCCTGAAATATATAACTAAATTAAATGCAGACGATAGGACTAAATTTTTTAAAGTTTAGACGAATGTGTTAGTATGTTTATCAGTAAATTGTTCCACAATCTGAGAAAGGCAGGGAAACCAGGGGGGGATAAGCTGATGTTACAACTTTCGTTCGTCTGTCCCCGCATTGATCAATGCGGTGGTTCCGGGATGCGCCAAAATTTAAATCGGGGACATATCAAATCTCAACTCGCGGACTTTATTAGTGGGGACTTTCATTTCTGATTGTACTATCAGAGTGGGGCCTTTATATACAAAGCGATCGAAAATCCGAAAATGTAAATTCCCCGGTTTTTCCCGGGAATAGGGGCCCTGGTTACAACTGATTAAATACTGTATAAGGTATACTCATTTTAAACATTGAATATTATTCACAAATTATAATTTCAATTATGATATTATACTAGTATTTAATATCCATTTCATTTATTTCAATTCTTTTTTTAATCTTATACATGTACAGTGAATAGCGTGGTAGGAGGATCCCGTCACGATGACCCTTACGATAAAAGCGGAGAGGACCCGAATGATCTCGCCGATCACTGCATACATATTCGGAAGGATCACACAACCCGGCTAACGGACTATCTGATATGTCCGTTCGGTTGCTGTGGATCACTTGACGACCAGAAATGCTGTGATGATCCCGAAAAAGAGAAACACGAAGAGGAGTAAGTCAAGGCATTTAATGCGCCAAATTTTATCACTTAAAGAATGATTAAATTGTTCAACTCTAGTGACTTTTAAACAAATTGCACGGGGCAGTAAGTCGTAGATATTTTTTGAATTTCAAGTTTAATAAGTAAATGTTGTTTTGGTTTTTTTTTGTTTTTTTTTTTTTTTTTTTTTTTTTTTTTTTTTTGTCTTCATATTCTGTTTACCAAGTATTATCATAGTGATTGCTGATACGGTCATTCGTGGGACACTCATTCATTTTTACTATTACTGAGATAGTATTCGAAGAGTCAACTCCAATATTTTGTTAAAACGTGTTTAAAAAGAGTGAATAGAATTTTCGTATTGATGTATAAATTTTATACTAGTGACACGACTGCTTTGGTGAAGACAGTGTTTCACCATTTTAGTGGCACCAGAAATTGTAAAATTGTTAGATACGTACCTTGACACCCGGAAGTGAATAAATAATAAATTCTTAACAACCCTACTTCTAAATGGTATACAATGTATATGTATATAAGAAGATCTTAAACTTTTGTGAAACTAGTGTTAAATTGTTTTACATCTGAGCTTCATTGATTAAGCTTACACATACATGAATATGTTTAAAAATTAACAAGCTTGAATATGTTTTAACATACCTGAATTAGTTTAAATATACCTAATTATGTTTAAACATATTATTTTATTTCAGAGGAAACAAGCATCTGGTCCGTGGATTGCTGATATTTGCTGCTGTGATGCTGATTGTCGCATTGTCCTGTTGTGTGTTTGGTGTGTACAAACACAAGAAAGCTAAGTTGAGAAGGACGTCTCCAGAAAAGATATATGCGGCACAGAGTAAGTATTTGAGCCCGTCATGCCAAAACCAACATAAAGGGTTTGCGACCAACATGGATCCAGACCAGCCTGCGCATCCGCGCAGTCTGATCAGGATCCATGCTGTTCGCTTACAAACCCTCTAACAAGTAGAGAAACTGATAGCGAACAGCATGGATCCTGATCAGACTGGTCGCAAACCCATTATGTTGGTTTTGTCATGACGCGGCTCAATTTCAAGGATCTTTACTGAAGTTCAATAGCCTTAAAATTGCGATTCTTAACCTAATTTGTTTTAAAGCGTGGTAACAACCTTAATTACAACATATACAGGATCTTTAACACTTTTCGTTTGTTTGTTGTTTTTTTTTTCTGTTTTTTTTTTTTTTTTTTTTTTTTTTCTTGTTTTTTTTTTTGGGGGGGGGGGGGGGTTCATTGGTTTTTTTTTTTGTCTCATTTTGCACAATTATATTGAGAATCCTGAAAATCAGACTGAGCGAATGTACACAAGAAATGGATTGGTCAAGACCTACATCAAATGGTACGCAAACCTCGAAATAATATATCTGATCTTGTCAAGTCAAAAGACCCCAGCTGTGTTTATTAAACTGCCAGTAGTTTCAGGGTGTACCTTCGTGTCTTGATATAATAAAATCATATAGGAACGCTTGTGCATAAATTGAAAGCATTAATAATGTTTGAAAAATTCTTATCAATTAAGCGGAAGGTACATAATGTTAAATCATTGTCAAACCGGCTAAAATTGCTACTGAGTTGTTTTTTAAATGAATTATTTATTTCGATTACAAATACATGTAGACATAGATAAACTTTATTCAATTAATCGTAATGTATCACTTTTTAAGCACCAGTACAGAGAACTTCCCCTAACACTAGGCCTATCGTCTACTACACGGCAAAAAGTGGAATGAAACTCGACAACGACGAAACGAAGAAGACACGCCCTGAACGCAACACCCAACCAGAGACAAGTGCAGCAATTCCACCCACTCATGATACAACTGCGCCGCCGAAGTATTCAGAGAATGCCTCCGCAGACTCGAACCTTCCGCCGTACTTGGGCCACACACCGCCTCCTCCGTACTCGTTTGGCAAACCACCAGTGGCACCAAACTCGACTAATTTCCCTTGAGAATCTGAAGAAAAAACTGTTTTTTATTTTTATATTTTTTTCATCTGGTACTTTTTGAAAACGAATACAAAACGTCATACAATGGTGAAATAATTGAAATAGCCACCATGCATTTACCTCGCCTTCATACTGCTGAATTTTGTAATTTTGTGTGATATTTTCAGCTGTCTTTTGTGAGACTGTGGTGTTAAGATATCAAATTTATTTCAACTATAAGCAGCCAATCGTATTGAGCCTTATTAGTAATTAGACTGACCACGTGTACGTACTAGCCTGTTTAATAGACAAATTATTATTCCAATTTGTACCAATAGAATTAGTTTTAGAAAATAACTAGTGGTCTTAGAATGTAAACAACAACAACAACAAATAGTGATAAAAGTACATGTATGTAAGTATGTTTTTTTTTCCACAATGACATTCACGGCAAACGGCGAGCGTTTCCGTAACAAACAATTAGATATATTGTTATTAATTTTAGTACTAATGTTATTTATACTATCAATTATTTGTTGATTGTGCATTTCATATATTATATACTCGGTTGCTGGCGACTATATGTAGGAATTTCATTGTTACTGAATAAATTTCTCATCTGTTTTCGATTTTTACTCTACTTTTCTACAAAATGTTTGCACCTTTAAAGCTTTTAACGTTTTTAATCAGTAAGATCTTTATTTTTTTTCGTTATGTCAAAAGTATGTACACCAGTAAAAGTTTTGTCAGCCACATGATGAATTTCGAGTGTCTCAGCTAAATATTTTTGAGGAGCTGTGTAGCACCGTATACAGCTCAGTATACAGCTCACGTAGTCTTTGAACGGAAGACAAGCACCGTATACAGTTGACATTTTATTCAAAATGTCAAAATGCGATATTGCACCGTATACAGTGAGCGTATTCTTTAAAAAGCAATGCAGCACGGCATACAGCATGCGTATTGTGAAAACGGCACTGTAACACCGTATGAAGCTCCACGCAGTGATCTCCCCTTCTTTCTTCGACAGTTACTATACTAATCAAGGGAAGTAACCGCTGCGAGAAATTTGGCGCCGTTTAGAGCTGACAAAATGTTTAGAAACCGTATACAGCTGATAATCTTTTAAAGATAAGTAGATCTAGCAGGTTCATTAAGTCCTAGAAAAACTGTATATTATTTTATTTTTTTATAATCTATTTAAGAAGTTCCGTTTCTATTTACAGAACGGCTGGTTATATATGGTTTAGCCATCTATTAAAAGATCATGAGCAAAGTTAACGATTTAGCATTTTTGTGCGTAAAACACAATACCACTTGGAATACCTTTAAGGCAATAGCTGTCGGTTTAAGATGTCTGTACACGCAAAAATTAATGTTTTTTTCACGTACAAACATATTATTTTTTATTTCATTATTTTTGTCAAAAATATAATCACCAATAACGGCTGCAGCGGCAACAAATAATGAGAGGAAGAATAAGTGTTGCAGCTTTATTATTAACATTTTCATCATCATTATAATTATTGATATTAGAATCATCCTCTGACATCATAAACATACATGTTACATAATTTCAGCAGAAATGCTGTTAAACTTTAATCAAACCAAAAAAATATATTGATTAACATGTTTCCTAGCATATCATTAAAACCATTTCAACATTACACAATTACAAAATTAGATTCATTAAAAATATCAAAACTATTCAGATAAATGATAAAAAAACTCACGGACCGATGACTGAATTTCCTCAGTGGAGCTCTTAAAATGTATAAAATTCAGAAAATCCAAAAATTCGCTATCACAACACTTTTAATTCTTAAAACAATCATCTATAATCACGGGAAGCTTATTTCACCAAGGGGAATAATTATGTTCAAAACAAACGTTCCAAGCTGTTCGTTTATTTACTTGATTTTTTTTTAAATTTCGTTTTAAATCATTAATTCGTTTATTTCCCCTTGACCTAATCTTGTCCGTTCATTTCCTAATCTAGTTCGTTCATTTCTTAATCTTGTTCGTTCATTTCTTCCAACTCGCGTAACAACTGAGCTAGAGCATCGTCGAATGTTCTCCCGGGTCGTCTTCCTCCGCCTGGGGGTGGGCGATTGTTGGGTGGACGCTGTGTTGGGCGGTTTGTTGCCGGTGGTGCAGTTGTGGTTGTAGTCGTGGTGGTCGTGGTAGTTGTGGTAGTCGTAGCTGGTTTGAAAACGTCTATGTTTAATTGGGGAATGTTGCGACATGATGTTCTAGTGTCCCTACAAGTTTTAAATAGTAAATAAAGCTTGGGTTAGGTGTTCTTCGTATATTGTCAATTAAAACATTTTTGTTGAAAAAAAATATTTGAGAGCTACACTTGATATTTCTAACAGTTTCTGAATTTCGTTACTAAATCTGACCCCAAAAAACCCATTGAAAAATCATTGTGAATTCCGTGTTTTCTTTATAATAAATGTACATGAATAATCGTTAAGAAAAGATAATGCTAGTGATAACAAGAAATCTATTTTTCAAAATTATTTAAAGGGTTGAATCGATCAAATTATCAAAAAAAAAAAAAAAAAAAAAAAAAAAAAAAGATGATATAATTGGATCTGTGGAATCGAGGTCCTCGACCACAGATGTATTTAGCTCCATGCCTTTACAGAGTGTTTATTCAATATTGAAATTTTACTTACGTGGCCATGAAAGCACTCGGGTATTGCACCTGATTAAAGTTGAAGTTATCGCACATGATCTTGGATAGCGTGTGATTTCTAATTGCCGACTGTTGATCTATAAGATACAATGAAA